AGTGATAAATTTGCTGTAGGAGGTGAGAGGAAAAAGAAGAAAGAGCCAAGTTTAACAACCAGTTATTGGCTTGCAGAATTGGCTGAATGGTGGGGCCTCTTGCAAAGATGCAAAGCCCTGACAATAAGATTTAGAAAGTGGGGGTGAGGCAGAAAGCGGAGCAAGGGTGCGGGGAGCAAAGAGATCATGCAGTGCTGACATGATACAGGCAACTTCTTCAAGCAGTTTTTAGGGTTGGAGGTTTGAGGATACGTTTTCTACCAAATGCCCTCTCACCCTTTCCCTTCCCCTTATCCATGTGGCAATCCAAATGGCATTTGGGCTTTGAGTTTGAAAATACAGATGTTAACAGCATTTTCTGGGCAACTCCAGAGGCTGGCATTTATCAATCAATGCACTTGATGAAAGACCTTGTGGTCTCCTTGGATGTAGCTAGATATTACATAACTTGAGAGAGAGGAATATTGTTGTAGAAGAATTACTAATGTACTAGGGATCTCATCTCAACCTAAACTGGGATTTGGAATTTTGATGTGTGTTTGATGAAAATATTCAGCTAAAAGCTCAAAGAGGCTATTTCGGTGAAGTAGTTTACATAGTAGGAAAATGTCTCCAAAGAGGAAGATGTCTGGAGACAGATATGGAAAGGCACATGAGTGAGCAGGAGGCTGTCTCTTTTATTAATGAGTCCCATGGAATTATCCTGAACCCAGATGCAGGCAGGGGCTGCAGGAAGAATGTTAGGGATCTGTTTTCACTGGCACAGAGGCACCTATCATGTGGCTTAGAAACCAGGGTGATGAAGCAGCAACATGTTAGGGAAGAGCATCATTTTTCTCTCAATACTGTAAACATTTTGCTCCACTATCTTTCTATTTTGCATGGCTTCTGAGAAGTCAGATGTCATTCTTATCTTTGTTCTCCTGCAAGTAAGGTATTTTCCCCCGTTTTTTTTTTCTTTCAGAATTTTTTTCTTTATCTTTAGTTTTCTGTAACTTCAAAATGATATTGGTAAGGTATAGATTTTTTTTCTTGCATTTATCCTGCCTGGCATTCCCTAAGCTTCCTGGACCTGTGATCTGGCATCTGGCATTAATTTGGGGGAAATTCTCAGTCTTTATTGTTTCAAATATATCTGTTTCTCTCTTTCTTTCTTCTCCTTCTGGTATTTCCATTATATTTCCACCATGCACCTTTTGTGATTGTCCCACAGTCCTTAGATATTCTGTTTTTTTCAGTCTTTGTTCTCTTCAATTTTTGGTTTTTGAAGATTCAGTTGTCATATCCTCAAACTCAGAGATCCTTTCCTTAGCTCTGTGCAGTCTATTAATAAACCCATCAAAGGCATTCTTCATTTCTGTTATAGTGCTTTTTATCTCAAGCAGTTTTGGTTCTTTCTTAGGATTTCCATTTCTATGCTTACATCACCCATCTGTTCTTGTATGATTTCTGCTTTATCCATCAGGTCCCTTAGCATATTAATAGTTGTTTTAAATTCCCTGTCTGATAATTCCAATATTCCTACCCTGTCTGGTTCTGATGCTTGCTCTGTCTCTTCAAATTGTGTTTTTTATCTTTTGGTATGCCTTGCCAGTTTTTCTTGTTAGTTGTACATGATATATCCAGTAAAAGCAATTGTTGTAAATAGGCTTTAGTAATGTGGTGATGAGGTGGGCGGGGGGGGGAGGGGGGGGGACGAGAAGCATTTTCTAGTCCTGAGATTAGGTCTTAGTCTTTTATGAGCCTGTGCTTTTGCGCTGTGAAGGAACATCAATTCACCATGTCTAGGCATACATAACACAGCCTGGCTCTGAGATGACAAAGGCTGCTTGGGTTTGAGGGTTTGCACTTTGGGAGAAGCAGAAAAGGGGTCCGCGCTCTGAGATGAGAGCCAGTGTTGAGTACCACTCTCACATGGTTCTGCTAACCAAGACCTTAACAAGGGAGGACAAGCAGAGAAATCTGGGAGTTCTTTCAAACCCCATGCTCTGCATTTGGGGACTACAGAAATAGATGGATGAAACCATGCAATTACACATGGAGGACCATGAGTTTTCAGCCATTGCTGTTACTGTGGCTTTGTAAGCACAGAGTGGCGAAGCCTGGAGGAAATGTGGATTGCACCAGAATAGTAGTTCTTAAGATGAAATGTGCTTCAGAATCACTGGTGGAACTTTTAAAGAGGATCCATGCCATGTCCCATTTTCAGGGTTTCTGATTTAGAAAGCCAAGTGTGGCATCTTGGCAACTGTGTAATGAAAAAGCTCAAGTAATTTTGATGCTTATGCCTGGTCAAGAACCCGGGGGGAGGGCAGGTGGGGAATCAAATTTTTGGGGGTATTTCACTTTTAGAATTCATTGTTTCATAACTTCATCTCTTTATGCTCAGCTTTCCCCATTCCCACTAAAAAAGTTTCCTTTCTCTGATATCGGTTTTCTTAATTCTTCACTGAAGGCTTTTCTGAAGGAGAATTACTAAAAGATTCAGCCAGCCTTAGACTCTTAGATTCTTTATACTTGGACTCAGATGAAAGGAAAAATTGAGAATGTAAACATCCTATTTGCTTCCTTAGAAGAAAATGGCTCATAATTTTATTTTGTTTGATCAGCTCCATGTTAAACAACTGTGTGAATATTTTTCTTGAAACATCCTCTCTCTTCCACTCCTATCTCCACAGCTCACTCTACTGTTAGTTTTGCTTAAAAGTTATCAATGGAATTTAGACATCAAAGCACTTTCAGCTTCATTTCTCCACTCTGGCTCCACAGGCTACAACCACCACCCTCCAGAGTCGTAAGCTACAGAAATCATCCCACATCTTACTTTTGTTCATTTATATCTGGGTAAGCTAGAGGAGATTGTCTTTCTTTTGTAGAATCTATAGTATTGAAAGTGAACTAGATCAGTGACCTAATTCCTGGTTAATGAGTCCTTTATTCCCTAATGTTCCCATTAATTTTCAATCCAATGGAATTCTTGTCTTCTTGAAATACAGCTAAAATATAATAACTGTGTAGTAATTATTTTTTTCAGTGCAAAAATTCCAAATGTCCATTCTATTAACTGAGCAAATGGAGGTCATAGTTACATCAGCCATTAAATGTCTTTACAGGAATTAAAGAAAACTGATCATGCTCCAGTTTGAAAGAGCCACAATTAAGCAGTGTTTTTGTATTACTTCTCAGAGGAAGGAGCCTGAAGATTCTAAAGGGAGGGATGATGCATTAAGTGCTGGGAAAAAAAAAGAGAGAGAGAGAGAGAGACAGAGAGTCTTCAGTCTTGGGAATGTAACAACTTGGTGGGGGGCTGAGTGCCCGGAGGCAGACTGACCCAATCAGCTGCTGGGAAAAGTAATACAGCTGTTCTGCTGGAGGGAGACACATTCTAAGCCGGTATGGTCCACTATCGGGGAGCTTTTGGTATCATGAGAAAAGGAAGTGCTGTTCCTTTCAACTGAGAAACTGTAGAATGTCTCACTCATCCTTTTTTTTTTTTTTAATGCTGACTCCTCTTTTTGTTTTTATTAGCTTTGTGATAAAATTTCCATTTGAAAATTGATGATACAAATCAGAAGTGCTTCAAATCATCTATTTAATATTTATAGATGAAATTTATCTCTTTCCTTAAAAAATGTTTCAAGAAAACATATCTGAATTAGAACTTAGTGTTCACTGCACATAAGATGAAATGGAAACTAACCTCTTTATTGCATGTGGGTGTTTTTGTTTTTGTTTTTTTATTCCTTGGCTTATTCAGTTAATTTGGATTTACTATTTGTAAGGTGAAAAGAAACACTTTCCCCCACAACTCTGTGGTCTATTGGGAGACTTTACACAGTAGGAAAAAAATGTGAGCAACTACCTATCATTATTATAGAACGGATTTTCAGATGGAACCTAAGAATTTACTCAAACGTATTCCTTGGAACTATTTCATCATAAAAACCAAAATATGATTATATTAATACTGCTGATTCAATGCGCTCATTTGACAACAGTCGCAAGGTGCAATTTGAGGAGTTTTATGGGCCAATGTTAAGGTTAGGCATATACTTTCTACCCCCAAGCCCCTGTATTGTATTATTCAGAAAATATAGTGGAGTCAACGGATAGGTCCTTGAAAAAAAAAATAGAAAAAAGAAAAAGAAGAAATGCCTTCTATTTCCCAATGCTTATTAATTCAAAATTTATTTACATTTTTCAGTGGATGGATCATGTAGTTTAATATATAAGGTGGCATACAAATAGTGGCAACACCAAAGACAGGCTCAGGGGACCATCTTGCAGGGCCCTTCCCCTCGCCCCAGCTACCACCACAAATTTAATAATGTTTTTCTCCATCTAGACCATTGCCATTTTCTCAATCATGTGAAAATCATCTCTCTTGAAAACATTTCTATTTTCATTGATCTGTGATTTATAATTTAAGTAAAAACAAATAAGACAAGTCCCTTAACTTTCCTCACCTCCACTTCCTGCTGCCCCTCAATTCTTCCATGTGAATATGCAGACCCCAGCAGGTGTATGAGTGAACATGGACACATAAGTTTATTTTACAGTTCATTTCCATACAACAAAACTAAAAGAGTAGTGCCAGTATTCCATAAAGACCCAAACTGTTATGCAAATAAAGTTCTTACTAAAGAAAAAGAGACAAAGATGATTTTCTGGAGAGCAGAAAGACTCAAATTAAATGGCAATATAGCATATGCTCTATGACTGGTTTGGACGAAGTCATTAAAGCAGCTCTTATTCTACCATCTTTATGTAAGTATGTTTTACAGAAAATGTATACTGTGGATTGTCTGTGGATTAAAAATTATTGAATTGGCTTGAACTTACTTTTTTGTTATTTTTTTAATGTTTGTTTATTTTTGAGAGAGTCAGAGACAGAGTGTGAGCAGGGGAGGGGCAGGGAGAGAGGGAGACACAGAATCCAAAGCAGGCTGCAGGCTCTGAGCTGTCAGCACAAAGCCCGACATGGGGCTTGAACCCATGAGCCAGGAGATCATAACCTGAGCTGAAATCAGATGCTCAATCAACTGAGTCACCCAGGTGTCCCAAGCTTCCTTTTTGAGGGTTTCCATCTACCACCTACTTCTACTTACCTACATCCCACACAATATGGACAGGAAAAAAAGCAGAGTGCATTTTATAATTTCAGAGGATGGAAGACAGGAGCAATTAATTAATGAAGACTGAAGAAATACTTATTATAATGTTTAAAATGTTCTTTTGTACTTATTTGACAAAAATCCCAAGATTCATCAGTTTCTGGAAACTCAACGCAAGGTAAGAGCTGCAGCTGACTTTGAATCTGACATATGTGTGAAGTAAGAACCCAATCGACATTGAAATGCCAGTCTGTGATTTCCCTTGAGGTATTGCTTTAGTTTCTGTTCCATCAAAAGCACACCAGCTGTAACTATGTGTTAAATATTTATTTTGGAGATGGATAGAAAGGAAAATTAGACACAGCCTCCACTTTCAAAAATTTTAATCTGGTAAGGGTGACAGACTGAAGGGAGTACACAAATCAGATTTAGGGAGTGAACAAGATAGTGGTTGTGGGGAAAATGTTGAAGGTGAGCTGCAAAAGGAATATTGAAGCCCTGTGGGTCTGAGAACAGAAATGCTGTTGTTGGGATGTCTTTTAATTCCCATCTAGGTGGATAGGGAGAATTTTTTAATACATTCCACCCGAATGTGGAATCTGATAACACTCATTAGTTTGCCCATGGTATCTAGTAGTTTTATGACATCTACACACTTAAACTTTGGAATGGTGTGTCCCTCATGGTGGAGGGGAGGCGAAGCACATAAACAATTTCAGGGACTTCTTTCTAAAGTCCTTAGGCAATCATCCAACCTCTGTGTGTCTCAGTTTCTCAATCTGTAAAACAGTAATGCAATATCTATTCCACAAAATAGTTGTGAGAATTAAATGAGATAATCATATAAAGTATCTAGCACAGATTCTAGACCAAATGTTCAATAAAAAGCAGTCATTATTTTATCCTTTCTTTCTTTTTTCTGTGAGACTGGCTTTCCTTCACTGTCACTGATGAGACACTAACCAAGCTGGGGGATCAAACAAGGGACGCTTCACCAAGGTAGGTGCAGGACATAAAGGGGGACAGATGAGTTACATGCCCAGGCATAAAATATGAAACAGTAAAAAAATCTGGGAACTTCACAGGAAGTTATCTGTGGGAATGTCTGGAAGACTTCTGTAAAAACAACCTATAAAGATGTTGCTTTAGCTGCAAATATTTTGTGGATTTAATATAATAAAATTAATATTATTAATTTCAGTATCAAGGGCAAATGCACATATATGGAGAACCTATTATGTGCCAGGCATTGTGCTTAGCTTACCTTGCATATATCACCTCATTTAATTTTCTCACCAATATAAAATAATACAGTCCATTATGCCTCATTTGAAATTTTAAAATAAAAAATTTATGAAATTAAAATATTGAAATAATTGCTTGCGTAACAAAATCTGACCTGAACTGACATGAGATTATTTTTAGTCTTTATTTATCTCACTTAAAATAAATATTCATGCAGTTTGCTATAGAAACCTTAATGTTGGTCATGGGGTGTTTCTCAGACCCCACTAGTGTAATGTTCCATATTGTCATTATAAAATAGTCTCCAAATTTCAAAATTCACCTGGACTCTAGGATTTTAGATAAGGTAGGGTAGACTTTTAAAAAAAAGATAACATTTATTGAGAGCTTGCATATGCCACGTTTGGGTCCAAGTCTCTACTGATCTTAATTCATTCATCCTCGTAATAATCCTGGGACAATAATCTTGGAGGAAAGAGAAACACATGAGGTGATCTCTACCTTCATCTAGACTTTCTGCCTAGAAGTACTTTCCAGTGAAGTACAGGAAGGGGAAACCAAACAAAACTTGGGTATGTCAATGAATTGAGGGGACCGAAATCATTACTTGGGGAAGGCAAGGCAACTAAAATTTGTGAGGCAGACTGCCTACGAAGAGGGAGCTGTGCAGAAGTGCTCCAAGTATCTTCAAAGTAGCCCCATCAAATCTTTGGCTGAATATCAATCTACAAAGATCACTGGACATGAGCAATTTCAGGGGAAAGACAATTACCAGGGAGCTGTAAGCTGAACAATTCCTGGAGCTCATAAAGGTCTGAGAATCATTCAAGCTCCCATCAGCCAAAGTGAAGAGCCCTTCATGAATATATGATGCATTTAGTGGAGAGCCCAGAAAAGCCTCACCTTAAAAGTGGGACTCAATGAGCATTAAAGGTAATCTAAATTCACCCCCAAACTATAACAAAATGCAACACTCAAGAACATAAATACATGATGTTCAGCATTCAACTAAAATCACTGTTTATGGGAAGAAGCAGAAAAATGTGACCCATAACTTAGAGAAAAGTCAGTCAATAAAACAGACCCCAAATTAAAAAGGTAGTCAAAGTAATTAACAGACAACAATATACATATTGGATAGTGATAGAAAGTATCCAGAATGAAGCACAGATTAAAAAAGGCTGAAAAAAATTAGTCTTTAGTGATCCAGGAGATAATAACAAATGCAATTGGGATTCCAGAGAAAGTAAGGAAGATAAAAAATGCTTGATGAAATAATGGCCAAACTTTTTAAAATTTGATTTGAAAAGTTATAAACTCTCAGAACCAAATGACAAAATGAAGCCCAAGTAAAACAAATATAAATCAAGCCTCTCCAAGACTTATTTTAATCAAATTTATTTAATCAATTTAATCAAATTTAATCAAAAGGTGTTAAAGAGGGAATCTTAAAAGCATCAAGAAAACAAACACACATTGCATGCAGAGAAACAAAGATAAAAATAACAGCAGACATTTTGTCAGAAATTTATGCAAACCAAAGACAATGGACTTATTTCTTTAAAATGCTAACAGAAAAAGATGTCAACTCAAAATTCTATATTCAGCAAATCTTTCATAAACAAGAATAAGGAGAAATTGACACATTTATTTTATAATTTATAGAGAAATTCAAAGAGCAAGTGATTAAAAAAATAAATTTGGGAGGATTTATGCAATATGATTTCAAGATAATAAAGTTATAGTACCAGGGCACCTGGATGGCTCAGTCAGTCGGGTTTCTGACTTTTAATTTAGGTTTAAGTCATGATCCCAAGGTGGCGGGATTGAGCCCTACATTGGGCTCTGGGCTGAGCATGGAGCCTACCTAAGATTCTCTCTCTCTCTCTCTCTCTCTCTCTCTCCCTCTGAGCCCTCCCCCTCTTGTGCCCTCTCACTCTCTAAAAAAAAAAAAAAAAGTTATACTACCAAGGGAGTATAGTAACAGCAGAGACTAGACATACATAGATTAATGGAACAGAAATGACAATCCATAAATAGACCAACAATTATATAATCAATTCATTTTCAACGAAGATGTCAAAAATTCGGTGGAAAGGATTGTATTTTCAGTAAACTGTGCTAGAATAACTGGATATATGTACATACAAAAAGGGGATCTCAACCTTTTTGTTACATCACACACAAAAAATAATTCAAAATAGCCCTTATACCTAAACATAGGAGGGGCGCCTGGGTGGCGCAGTCGGTTAAGCGTCCGACTTCAGCCAGGTCACGATCTCGCGGTCCGTGAGTTTGAGCCCCGCGTCGGGCTCTGGGCTGATGGCTCAGAGCCTGGAGCCTGGAGCCTGTGTCCGATTCTGTGTCTCCCTCTCTCTCTGCCCCTCCCCCGTTCATGCTCTGTCTCTCTCTGTCCCAAAAATAAATAAAACGTTGAAAAAAAAATTAAAAAAAAAACCTACTTCTAAACATAGGAGCTAAAACTATAAATCTTTTAAGAGGAAATATAGGAGAAAATCTTTATAACCTTGAATTAGGCAGAGGTTTCTTAGATAAGACATAATCATAAACCATAAATGAAAATTTTGTTAACTTTACTTCACCAAAATCAAAACTTTTACCTGTCAAAAAACACTATTAAAAATGAAAAGCAAGCCACAAAATGGGAGAAAATATTTCCACAACATACATCTGTGTACCCACAAACATAACTACAAAATATACAGAGAAGGTGTATAACACAATGATAAGAAAAGAGCAACATTTCAATTAAGAAATGAGCAAAAGAAAAAGAAGACACTTCGTGGCTAACAAGTTCATGGAAAGATACTCAACATCATCAATCGTTAGGAAAATGCAAACTAAAATCACCATAAAATATCACTATACATCCATTAAAATAGCTTATATTGAAAAGGCTGACAAACCCAATTGTTGACTAGGATGTCAAGAAAATAGAACCCTCATGTATATCTGGTAGGAATGTAAAACGCCCAATCACTTTGTGTAACAGTCTGGCAGTTTCTTAAAAAGTTAAACATACACTTACCATAGGATCCACTTTGTCTGAAGGAACAATAGTAATGTATCTTGGTGGTGTTTTTTTTTTTTTTTTTTTTTTTTTTTTTTAACATGCAGACGTAAATTGTATGAAAAATTTAGCACAAAGAATGAGACAGGGAAATGGAAAATTCATGTATGTGAATTAGCATAATGCTATTTGAAGGAGCCGGTGATAATTTAAAAATTACTGCTCCTAAGGACCTGAGGGAAGAGGAAAGTATCCAAAAGTTTTTCCTTTCTGGCTCCAAAAATAGTTTCATTTCTTGGATGAGAAAGCTTTTCATATGCTGGGGCCTCAGACTCCTTCATACACTTCTGCACCTCGGCAGCAAGCCCAAGCTGGGCAGGAGTTACCATCATCTTCCTCTTTCTAATGGCCTCCGAGGCTGGATGGTGTGGACTGTTTGCTGACCGCCCCCCCCCCCCCCTCCTAGAGCATGGCGGCGGGGGGGGGGGGTGGGGTGGGGGGATATAGATCTCTAGCTTCTTCCTCCTGTTCTCCTAAGGAGAGATTTCGTTTCTCCCGGGCCCTTGTCCCTAGCTGCATCTCAGGGGGCTCGCGGATAGACGGACAAGGCTTAAGAGGGGGAAGCCTGGCAGGGAGACGAGTGGATCCTAGAAGAGTTCTTCCCTTTGCTGTCGCCCACTGGGAGCCAGGATTGGGTTTGCAACAGTACAGTAAATTTCGCATCTAGGGCACTGGCCTCCACCAAACAGGTGTGTGCACACATATAGAGGGTTCTAGTTTCTGGCATGAAGGCGTCTGGCCCAAGCTTTCTCTCTACCGCCTCTTCAAAGGGGAGCAAAGGTGAGGGCTTGTAGGGACGGGGCCTAGAGTCGGCCTGGTCCCACGGGCCTTGACTCCCCCGCACTGGCGCAGGCCCGTTCTGAGGAACAGACTGCGCATGCGCAAATCCAAAGGCTCCCGGCAGCCTCCAGGGGCGACTGGTGGGATGCAGGTGCCCATGCGCGAGTGCCAAGCAACAAGATCTCAGTGACAGGCAAGTGTTTCTAGCTGGTATCAGAAATTAAGGGGCTGTTGCAGGGGAACACGCTGAACCGGAGCCTGCTGAAAATACCTGGCGCTGTCTTTTAGGGCTGCCGGCTCCTGATTCAGGCCACTGTTGTTAGTCTCCCCTGGCTCCCTCCAAACACCACCTGCCCCTGGGCTTCTGAGCTCACACAAACCACTGTCCCTGCCGCCCTCACCTGCCCAGTGCCTCCGGTGGCCAAGGTAGGTCTGGCATCCTAGCCTCGCCACCCCCTGGGTGGGTGGAATCAGACATGTCTTTGGAGTGTGACAGTGAGAGAGTTTTAATAAAAAATGGTGATGGAATGTTTGGGGGAAGGTGGGTAAGGGTACGATGCTGGAGATTTGTTTTTTGCAGAAGGCATTTTTAAAAAGTTCAGGCTGTAATGAGATAAAACATGTTACCTTACCAAATCCATCACGTTAAAAAAAAATGTTAACGGTGTTTAGGAAAATAGAAGGGAAAACTGAATTTCTGGCAGAACACCAGTTGGTTATTACTGCTAAACTTCATCAAACAACTGTGCATTCTACTTAAGACTTCATTTTGGTGCCCTCAAATACAATCACAACTGCAGGGGGTAGGCTGCAGCTGTAAGACTGTCCCTAATGCTCCCTCATTCATTCAGGAATTTGATCTGTTTCAGAATTTTCCCTTTTGTCATTTGAAGTCACTCATGAAGTGGAAATGGGGGGATGAGGAAGGTGGGAAGGTCAGATTGGTGTGGGTAAACACAAAGAAAATTCGTAGAGACAGGAACAGCAACATCAACAAAAAAAAAAAAACCTGGTCCCAGAGTTTATTCAAAAGAGCAGCAATCAGAGGAGTTTCAGGAATTGAAATATACTTGAGTTAGGTGGAGGAGTGGGGAGTGGTTGAAGGGACAGGCTCACTCTCAGCAACGAGGAGGGTCATAGAAAGAGCAGAAGTCGTGCCTGGCAAAGTCAGTGAGAAAAAGACCTGGGTCATGAGAAGCCTATGGTTTTGGTTTAGCTCTTTATTACCTGCCACCATGTTGACACGGAGAACAGAGAAGGAGAAATAGCACTAAGGCAAAGAGTGAAATTTAGGAGTAGTTGTAAACTAGGTAAGATGAGGGGGATATTTTAAACAATGAATATGAGTGAAATAGGGCTTATTTATATTAACTCTTGCTTGGCCCATAAATAAATAAGCTATTTATAAATAAACTATTATTTCCTGTCTTGCTTTCCATTTTTAGCTTCTAGAAATCTTATCAACAAATAAATAGGGCTATGTTCTTCCTATTGCTTTAGTGATAGATATAGCTTCATGTTTATCCTTTTCTCCCTTCCACTGGGCTTAAAGTCCTAGAACTAGATAGAAGAGAAATAGTTTCAGAAATAAACACAAAATAATAGAGTATGTCTTGACGTATGGTTCCCAGTGTAGATATTTGTGATTATTGTTTTTTCTGTCACATGTTGATATTTGGAATCATAAAAATAATACAATTTTGTATTCTGTATTCCAGAATTCCACATGAATGGTTTACGATGTTGGTGAAATGTTCTCTATGATACCACAAAATGTCTTCTTAAAACCAACCAAATAATGTTGATCAGTAAATTTCCTTCTTCAGTGATCTCTGTGGACAGAAGAGTTTGAGGCACATGAACAAAGAATGCTCAAGATTATTGGGATCTGGAAGGTACTTTGTGAACACATGAGGCTGCGCACCTGTACTCTATGATGGTGGTTGACATTGGTGGTGGGAAGATTTCAACTTTTCTCTAATTTAAGAAGATTTAAATAAAGGTACGTGAAACATTGGCTAATATTATAGACAACAAATCTTAGAATGAGATCTTGGAAAATTTTGTACCCTGCATTTTGTTTTTGATTAAAAGTCACATAGACTAAAAGTCACATTTATCTGAAGGGTGTATTATTATTGAACAATTTGAATTTGCTGTGGTCAGGGTCTGTGCAAGTCTTCATGGGATCATGGACTACACAGGACTGGAAGGGCCTTTAAGAAATGTGCTAGGTATTAGACTGGAATTATAACTGGAATTAAAAGAAAAAGAAGTTAGCTGGGTGAGATAAGGGTCTGATCTTTATTGAGATCTCACCTTCCATTCCAAAAAGCCAAAGTGGCTGAAAGACACCCTGCACTCACTTTGGCAGCACATGTACAAAAAGCCAAAGTAGCAAAAGTAACTGAGTAAAGCACACATATGGGGAATGCCTTTGCCCTACTTTTCCCTCATTTTTAAAAAGACCAAAATGATCTTTTGGATTCCAGGTTCTTGATACTTGATATAAATGTACATAAACCAACATTTTATCTGTTTGCAAAAGGTGATGACTATTAAATACCTTTTAGAGAGAAAGGATAAAAGTCAGAAGCTTGGCTGTGTCTTTAGCTGTTTTACCAATACTTAGTCTTTCCTATACGGGAAAAATCTAGGGCGATGTACTAAATCAAAGTAAATAATTGATTGCTTTAGCTAAGGGTAACTTGACAGTTTAGAGAGTTTGACTTATATGGTTATTGTTTGTATAAATGGCGTGTTTTATGAACCGTAATGATATGTGATAAAAATTCATAAACATCTATAGAAGTATTCAAATCACCTTAGATTAGATAGTGGACTTTTAATTAAAATTTCCCCACATTTTCTTGTACTTCCTGGTTGGTATCTTGGAATCCTGGCAGCTTCTGAGCAACAGTTTCCCCAAGACTCTGAGGCAGTAGTTACATCTTTTAAGAATCCAGTTAGTAATTTTATCCTGGGTACATTTTATTCTGGAGACATTTCCATTTTAAACAGTTTATGCAAGTAAACACACACATACACACACGTGTATATACGAACACACATAGGGCCATGTGTAAAAGACATTATCCCTATAAACTCTTTTCATCTTATTCATAAACTAAGACTGAGTACTATCGAGGAGCAGATAGTTGTCTAAAAATCTATTAAGGAAGAACTTTGGATTTAAGGGAAATATTATTCATTGAACCCTCAGACATTCTCAAGCTAGAATTTACCCTTAAGCATAAGGAATGGAGAAATTTATTACCACCAGTTTTTATCTTTACTTGTTTTTTTACTCTGTCCTATGTAAGAAAAACCAATTGAATTTATGTGGTGTTGGTGTTATTTTCATGTTCTAGTAAGCTTAATTTAAAAACATCACTTATGTTCCTCTTCTTTTATACTGTGTTTCTGAGTTGCTCATGTACAATATATCTATGTTGTGATTTCTCAGTTTCTTCATGGAATGTGCTATTTTATTTCTAGATATCTGATCATATTTAAATGACTTAGTCTTTTCTGGTCAAATAGTAACTTTTTTCCCCCCTTCAATATTCTGCAGGGGAATTAAGCAGATTCTCATAGGTAGAAATGTTTAAATGTGTCTTCAGAACACTCATGGGAAAAACAGAGTAGCTCTGTCATGTTTTTAGCAGCAAAACACTTAAAAGAAATAGTTCTCCAACAAAATTAGTTATGAAGCCCACTAGAGATAATCCCATCCTAAATTACTTGCTGCATAATACATTCTTATAAAAAACAGCAAAACATGGCAGGAAGGCAAGATAAAGAACTATCTCTGAAACACATTAAGTCCTGATATATATTAACAAGTATCAGTCAGTTTCTAACTTGCACTTTTAAATTATAAAAGGAAATTTGTTTGATATGCTTTCTATCTTATATTTGGAAAACTTAATGTTAGAATAGGTTAGATTTAGAATAGGTTTTTGTTTCCTAGTTTGAAGAAATACAGTAAAATCTTGGGTTTGCGAGCATAATTCATGCTTGTAATCCAAAGCACTTGTATATCAAAGCAAATTGCCCCATAAGAAATACTAGAAACTCAGATGATTTGTTCCACAACCCAAAAATATTCATATAAAAATGATTACAATACTGTAATATAATACAAAATAATAAATAAAATACAAAATGTAAAGAAAAATAAACAAATTGACCTATATTACCTTTGAAAACCTTTGTGGCTGCTGTGAGGGAGACAAGAGAGGGGGGTTATCGTGTAGGACGACTTTCACTACCACTAATGGAATCACTGCTATCTATTGGCTCAACGGAATCTTTTTCTTTTTGTGCAACTTTTAACAAGGAACCTATACAAAGACATTTGCTTTCTGCCTCATTTTGAGGGTTTCATGGAAATGTGACATTGCATTGATGATCACCCACAATCCTGCAGTGAGAGAAGGAGAGCGAGAGAGCAAGAGTGAGAGCGAGAGAGAGAGAGAGAGAGAAGAAAAATCATTGGCTCAGTTGTGATCATGTGACACTTGGCATTACATACTACTCATATTGCAAGACAGCACTCCTTTATCAAGTTAAAATTTATTAGAAATGTTTGCTCGTCTTGCAGAACACTCACAGCAAAAGTTACTTATAACCCGGGGTTTTACTGTAGTTAAAAAAAAAGTAAATAGTAATTGTGTGCCACGGCTACTCCTCACCATCTGGGTTTCAGAAATAGTGTTCTGCTCTTCCTCTTGGCTTACAAAACCAAGTTTCTATACTTCTGCTGCTGGGTAGACACTAAGGGTGGGCAGGGAGGGACAGAAAGAACAGAATACACAACTTCTCTTTTAATTTCAGTCCTCTATCATCCATCAACCACTGAATGACCAAGCCTTGTTTGTACCCACTTGCAGCACCCTGAAATGAAGCTGTAAGAGACACGCCCCCCCCAAACCCCTGGCAGTCACAAACTGATAACCTGTAGATCATTTTAGAGGGTTTTTTTTTTATAACTTGAATTTCTTTTTGTTTTGTTTTGTTTTGTTTTGTTTGCTTATTTTAAAGTAAACTTTGTATTCAAGTACATGTTATTCTTGAATACAGAATGATACACAAATCAACATGTGCAGCTCAAGGAATTTCATAAAATGAATACCTTTGTGTAATCAGTATCCAGTAACTAATTGCCCACATTAGCAAATTGGGACATGACTACATAAACATCTAGATTCCCGATTTATTTTGGAAAATTGGAAAATCTTACCTTATTGGGTTCACATTTTCACTAGCGTTAGTCAGCCAAACTGAGAAGCAGCTAATCTTTTAAGTAGAGCATATGCTTCTACAGTCCCTACCACTCCCTAGTACCTGCTTGTGAAGGCAAGTGTTGGTTGCTGTTGACAAATACAAATAGTGAAAATTAGAATGACTGTAAAGTTGTGATCAAAATCTAACAAAACAAAAAAATATGAGAGGAATATAAGAGTCAATGGAATGTTCTTAAAGTGGCAAGTATTTTGATTGAGCTGAACAAAAATGAATGCAGATTCTAATTGGCCCATAATTATATTAATTAGAACTGATCATATCATGGGGAAAGTTGGCTGGGGCTTGAGTGAAGGTTACAAATTACAACCACTTGAGTTACTTGATGGACATTGGTTTACTGAAAGGTGTTAGGGCTAGGTTTTGCCAAATTCTATAGCTATTCTTAGATTGTGGTATGTGCCTTTAATTTTATAATTACATTTAGGCTGCTTCAGATCTATATTACTTTAATCCAGTATTCATGTTACATAGTCACAGTCAGAATCTCCCAGTTACTATCTATTTCCTGCAAATTAGTTAGCTTTCTTCAACAGCTGATGAGTGGGATACCTCTTATTGGTTGTAGTGTTGACTGTTTGACTACTCAGTGATAAGTCCCACACCCCTCCCCACTTTTCTTCTTTCTAATGCTGATCTTTGTTCAGGTGATTTAATCTCTTCCACATGGCCATATACTTTTCTGATCCAATTATGGTAATCTCATTCTTGGCTATTTATATTTTAGTAATAAGTTTGATACCTTTCTGGTCAATGAGCGATGAAGTGGAATCTTCTGGGGGCTTAGAGAAAAACTTGGTCAACATTAAAAAGAGACACAAAAGACAGTATTTTTACTGGATATTACCTTGTCTGATTAAGATATAAGGTAGTTAGCCTAAGGACAAGCTTACATATTGAATAATGCAACATAGAAAAATGGAAAGAATCCTTGATGATATTGTTGAGGCATTGAACTAAGCAACGGTGAAGCTGCCTCACTTCAAAATTTCTCCTATAAAATGATAAATTTCATAAGTCTTCGGCTAGTTAAGCCAGGATTTTCTGTTTGCTATAGCTGAGATACTCTAATTAATACACTAGAGGAAATACTTCATTGGTGAATGATTTACAATTAAACGATGTGTTAGATTATGTAAAAAGGTTTTTATCTCAGTCTGTCCCAGAGAATAAATTACCCTAGAAAGGAGATAGAAAACTGGATGATGGTAGAAAGGTAAAATAGAGTCAGTAAGTCAAAAAGGATGTGGCAGTAGCCTAGACCAGAAGTCAAAATCTATTCTAACACATTCATTCAGATTAAAAATGTAATATACTATATATGTGCATATATATATATGTATATATATATATATACACGCACATACATATATATCTATATGTAATAAATGAAATTGTGTATATGAATATTTCCTCTAAATGGTTCAGATAGTTCATATAGTTTGTGTTTCTGATGAATCTTGAGTACTTTTTTGTTTCTCACATTGTTAAACCTAAATCATTAATGTTGAGTTTAGTCAACAAAGTCCTCTTATCTACCCATTTATTGAGCTTAGCTTCAATAAACTTTGAACACAAATTAAAGGTTTTTATGAACTAAGCTTCTTTTATGAAACTGATTTGTTTATCATCTTAGTATAAGCAGGAACAAAGGGCACTGGCTTAAATGAAAGGGGGGGATTCCCCTCTCTAGCC